GGAGGGCCGAGGGGACATGTCGGCCGGGGCGGTCTCGGCCCCTCGGGAACGCCGGCACTGCACGCAGGCTGATTCCCTCGGGAGCCATGGGAGTATCGCACTCCTGGCTCCTTCTCCGTTCAGGGCGGCTCTGCTGGAACAGGAACTGATGCCTGCTCAGCCGTCATCTAAAATCTCTGTTCTCTAACTAGGAGCAAAACGACAGGAAAAGAATTCCGTGCCCGCTCGATCCAAAACAGTTAAGTTAACGAAAACGTGTTTTCCCATTCTCTGTCAGAGCTCGCACGATAAACGCTGTTCCTTACTCTCCTTTCCATTTGGATTTCAGCACTGTCTACGAGGATCAACTGCAGAAGCATTTGAAAAAGTGTAACTCAAGGGAGAAGCCAAAGCCAGTGAGTGCCATATTGGTTCACACTGCTCCCCGTGGCTCCAGCACCCTGCACTCCGCGGCTCCGTCCAGCACCCTGTGCTGGCAGCTGCTCTGCAGGGCCCAGGTCTCGGCGGGCGCTGCAGCAAGAACAGCATGGACACTGAAAGGATCAGAGAATCCCAGAATAGTTTGGGTTGGAAGGGACCTTAAAGACCATCCAGTTCCAACCCCCTGCCACGGGCAGGGACACCTTCCACTAGACCAGGTTGCTCCAAGCCTCATCCAGCCTGGCCTTGGACACTTCCAGGGATGGGGCATCCACAGCTTCTCTGGGCAACCTGTCCCAGTGCCTCCCCACCCTCTCCGGGAAGAACTTCTGATGATCAATCTCAATCTCCCTCTTTCTGTTTAAACCCGTTACCCCTTGTCCTGTCACTCCCTGCCCTTGGGAAGTGTCCCCCCCCCAGCTTCCTTGTAATCCTCCCAGGCACTGGAAGGGGCTCTGAGGTCTCCCTGGAGCTTCCCTTCTCCAGGGTGAACACCCCAACTCTCGCAGCTTTAAGTTCACCGTCCGGCCCCCTCACCCCCTGTGCCCCCTGCGCTGTGGTGCAGCTGTTCAGTTCTCTTAGGCACAAATGCGATTGCTGAATCCGCTTTTCTCAGAAACGTTCCCTAGGAATCGTCCCTGCCGATGCCATCTGTTGCAGAGGCTTGGTGAGAGCTTGTCCTTGGAAAGCAAAAGGAGCAGGGAGGGTCTAGGAACTGTGCTTTTTGCTTCCTGGTAATTAACAGCACGGGGTCTCTTTTCCTTTTTAAAGGTCTACTTCGTACCAGACATTAATGCAGGTTTCAGTGATGGAACAGAAATACCAGAAGAGCAGGTGAGTACCTTGGTTTGTTCTAAAGCTCCATCCCTCTGCAGCATGTGGCAGTTTATGGTATGACAAAAGAACGAGCAGAAACAAAAGGTGTTTACGGGTGGTGCTTTTTTCCCTCAAAAAGGTACCTATCTCTGCTTTATCCAAAGAAGAGCTGGAGAACTTAATTATCAAGCTGAAAAACGCATGTAAGGGTGAGTTTACTTAGTGCTGAAAATAAAGTGGTTTAAATTTGATTATTTCATTGTTGTCGTTAGAGACATATGAAAACTGAGACCTTTGGCACTAAACACTCCTGAAGTAATCATCGTCCAGGACGGTGATCTCAACCAGGACCCACCCCTGACAGTCTCTTCTCATGCAGGCCTGGAACTTCGCCTTGAGGAACAAATACTGTCCCACCAGGCTTTGCAGGAAGCCCTGAATGACCCACGGAATGGGGAATCCACTTTCAAACACTTGAAGCAACAGGTACAGGCACTGCCTTACTAACAGCCGTGGGTGATCCTAAGGGCGTGGAATTCTGCTGCTGAGAACTGGAGCCGCTATGTGTGCGTGGTGCTGGTCACTGCAGAGAGAGGAACTCTGCTCTGCAGCCAGCAGCGCACCCACCCTCGGCGTGGCTTGGCTCGGCGCTGGTCACAGTTCACTGGCACGCTGAAACATGTTACGAGTGTTTTGGTGGTCTTGTCAATTTTTACTTACTTCATATTAACTCCCGAGCTAGAAACAAGGTAAAATGTCGTATTTGCCAACAGGTAAAACGCATATTTTACTTTTGCTGTAAGAGCTGGTCCTAGATTTCCTGGCTGTGTAACTAGTGCATAGGAGGGACCATAGAGCCTGAGCTTACCACCTGCCCGTTCCATGTCTATTGAACAGCAGAGAGATGGATTGCAGACTGTAGCAAAATGGAAAGTTTTGGGAAGAAAATGTTGAAGTGAGAAACATCTGTTTTCTGTACATTTCTCGTGCTCTGCTGCCCCTCCCCATGCGCTACAAGATGTTAGCTGCAGCAGAGGGAGGGCTCTGCAGACACTGATGCTTCTCAGCAGATCCAGTACAGCTCCCGTATTTTGGATGGCCACTTGGAGAATTAGCAGAGAACAGTATTATAGCGTGTGCCTGATCCCAAAAATCCATTCCAAAAACTTCGGGGTGGAGGTCTGTGTGCAGTGAAGAAGGGCAGGGGGCTGCTGACTGGCCAGAATTTACAGTCCCTTTCCTCTGTACACATGGCATCTTTTCCCAGTTCCCTCATGGAAGGGGAGACTGTAAACACTCTAGCACAGCTTGGAGAAACGATCAGTTGTCCATCAGGCATCGCAGTACCCAGTAGATCGGTTTGCTGGGGTTGTAAATAATGATGTTTGTAGGCTTCTATTTTAGGTAACATGGAAAAACTACGTTTACTTGGTCCCGGAAGATGTTTTGTTGAGTTCGGAGCTGGCCGAGGAAAGCTGTCCCACTGGGTGGATGTTGCCTTAGAGAACGTGGAAGACGTTCAGTTTTTGCTCGTAGAAAGGGCAACTACAAGACACAAGGTGAGAGGGGCAGGGTCACCCGAGCAGCGTGTCGTTAACCGGCTCTCCGTGGAGCTGTCGGTAGTTGCCATTAGGGTTAGAGTAACATAAAGCCTTTGAATCACTGGAAGTTTTGGGAATGTGACTGCGACATTCCAGACTTGGCTGACAGCAGATTTGTTAGGAAAAAGAGCTGGTGTGCGGCGTGGGATATGTGCAGATCGGGAGCAGGCAGGAAAACACCCGGCACTGCCCCCTGAGCACAGTGCCAGCGATCAGCAGGCAGCCCTGCAACCATCTCCTTCTGTTACAGGTGGACGCAAAACACAGAGATTCCGTATTTGAGAGGCTTCGAGTCGATATTCAGCACTTATGTTTGAGTAAGTTTCTTCTTGGCCTGAGCAACGCTGGAGTAGGGGCTTAATCTCACATTTTGCCTCTCGGAGTTCAGGTCAGTTTGTATGTGGCGGCTTCAGTGGGCTCGGCCTTGACGATACTCCAGCGGCTGCGTGGGCACATCAGCGCTGCGCGTAGCTGTGTGCATACGTGTGTGTGCGTGTGCGCCTGCACCGAACGGGGGTCTAACGTTTCCTGCTTTTTGTAGACTTGCAGGGCATGGTTAGAGGTGGCACCACCAAACCACTTGGAAGGGGTTTGGGAACCTGTGGGTTAAGCAGCCCTGCACTGCTTGTTGTCGGTGTGCGGAGCGGAGCAGGGCACGCGCTGTGCGTGTCGCGGGAACGCCTGTCGCGCGTTCACGTCGCGTTTACCTCCCGTAGGCAGCATGGAAACGCTGACAGGCTTCAGTAGGTAAAGGCAGCGATCTTCACATAAATGCAACATCCTGTATTTCTAGTACTGCGTTTTACTGAAAGGCAGGGAATTTCTGTCACTGTTTAGTGGGAGCTGATCCCTGGGCACAGATCATCCTGTTAAGGGAAAGACGAGGGTACCAGTGTTCTCTGGTGATCACTGTACTGCTGTCGTGCTGCTTCAGAACAGCACGGAAATGCCTCCTTTGCCTCTGGACGAGGGTGAGTTGTTTGAGGAGAAGAATGTGCCTCTCGGCCACTGCCCCCGATTCTCCTCATTTGTGTTAGAACGAGATCGTCCTGTTGACAGCTCGTAACCACGTGCGCAGGTCACTCTGGAGCAGGGGGGAACCTCTCTTCGCTTCTGAAGTGGGCTGGAATTAGGTTGTCCAGGGGAAACGCTGCTCCAACCGCAGTAATAGAGGTTCCGGGGTTGTTGTGGATTGTGTGTGTTTCTTTTTTCCCCCCTCCAGGTAAGGTACCTGTTTTGGAGGAGAAGAAACTGCCAGTGGTGGGAATTGGGAAGCATTTGTGCGGTGCTGCAACAGGTACGAACAATGTGTGTGAACTGCAGGGAGTCAGGATGCTCAGTCTTAACAGCCGGAACGGACTCGTCTTCCAAACTGTCCTTCTAGGCTTTTCGTGCACTCTCACCCCTTGCTGGTGGCGGCTGCAGTCGTGTTCCAGCTGCTGGCTGCAGTGCAGTAGTAAATGGGCTGCGTCTGGCAGAGTAAAACCGTCCTTGTTTTGGGTAGAGCAGCATGAAGAGCAGAGCCTGCGGCGCACATCACGTCTCTGTAAGCTCTTCCCAGCGTCCTTTCGTTAACACGTCGCCTCTGCCCCCATACGTGTTCAGCCAGTGCACACGGTATATCCCAGGCAGAGAAATGAGAATGACGTTTCAGTCCTGACGGGTTCCAGCCAATTCACGTGCCCTGATGTTCTGTGTCCGCTGAGGGATGTCTCCGGTGTGACACCCAGACAGGTGCTGTTAGAGGTGACCCAGTTAAACGTCCGAGATGCGCACATGCACATTCAGTAGATGCTGCCCTCGATGCCAGACTTGCAGAGCAAGCGCTTGCCTGTTTCACGGGGCGGCGAGCCTCCTGCGACGTGCCAGCTCTACACAAGGGAATCTGAAATGCGCCGGTTAACGGTCAAGAGAATGAGCCCTTAGTCACTCTGGGGGTCTCGTGATGTTCATTTGGCACTTCAGGGTTTTCAAAGCATGCTTAGAACTGTTAGTTATAATGCTTTTTGGCTCAGCTGGTGACATAGACTCCTATTTTTCTGCGTGGGAAGTACGTTCCCAGCCATGACAGCTGGAATAAATGCTGGCATGGTGTTCATCACCGGTTTTGGGGCGGTGCGTCTGTTTTTTTCCCAGATCTCGCTTTGAGATGCTTGGTGGAGAGTTACACAACGTGCTGTGATGGAGAGAGCGAAGAGCCGGCACCCAAACGCTGTCGGAAGGATGAAGCAGATGTGGCTTCCAACGATTCTGCTGACAGCAGGAGGAACAAAGCCAGCTGCGTGCCTGTAGCTGGAATTGTCATCACGCTGTGCTGCCACCACAAGTGCGACTGGACGCATTACGTGGGCAGAGAGTTCTTCCAAACGGCAGGACTCGGAGCAGAAGAGTTCCATTATTTTCAGAGAATGAGTAGCTGGGCCACTTGTGGCATGAGAGGAGCCGCAGCCTCTGGAAGCGAGGACCCAGCTGACGGCAGAGAGCAGGAGTGCAGCCGGACAGCGCATGCTTCCCACGGGTAGGTCTGGGTTTCTAGCAAATGGACTCCTGCCCGGGAGCCAAGTCTGTATTGTGGGGTATGAAATGGTTTTGGGTCCTCAAAATGCCTCATTTACTGAGCATTTTAATTACTGAATTTATAGAAATAATCTACTTGAAAACTAGAGTTTTCATGGACGGACGTTTCCCATTTCAAGTCACGCTTGCCTGAACTGCAGTGAGCTTGCAGTGACCTCGGCGGTTGCCGAGTTTAACTGCTCGTGTTCATCAACACGACTGTTCTCCCGCCACCTCTTCCTTCTTTCCCTCTTTGTGACACCAGGACACTCGCTGCGGAGGAGCGGAAGGAGCTCGGTCGCCTCTGCAAACTGCTGATTGATCACGGACGGGTCGAGTATTTACAGCGCCGAGGGTACACGGCTGTGCTGCAGTACTACACGGAGCCTGCCGTGTCCTTGGAGAACGTCCTGCTGACAGCTGTCCCACGTCCATCTTTCATACCAGAGCCAGCCTCGTGACTGCAGGCGGATTGGGAACCCGTAGGAAATACACACCTCTAACACAGCTGGATTTGTTTTAAAATGCTTACAAAAAGACGGTTTTAGTCTTTCCTGCATCCAGGAAAAGGTCTGGTACGTCCCAGTTTCACTGGGAATTACAGATATGCAAACTAGTTCTCATCAGTGGAAAAATAAAATCCTTAAGAATATCCAAAACCTGTTGTATGCCTCGCTGTTAGGAAGAAAGGAACCTGGTGCCTTCTTCAGCCCCCGTTCCATTCTTTAATCACTGGCATTTGTGACAGGAGAAGGACCAGCACAACTTCCCAGATTTCCTGAAAGACAGGGGGTTAAAGTAAGAGACATTAGGGCACTTTGTTTTCCCTGTGATGTTCCTCTCAACTGCTGGAGCAGGCCTAGGCGCTTCCCTCAGCCCAGGCTGCTGGGGGAATTGCAAGGAAGACCGTTTCTTTGTGAACTGTCAGCGTGACAGATTTCTGCCCATTTGATTATTCCTGCATGGAACACGCAGGAAAAGCTGGTTCAGCCCCCACCGAGAGCAGTTCAGTCCTTCTGGAGCCTTTGCGGTAGTGGGAATGAAGACCAGAACGTGTTACAGCTGCAGCAGAGGAAGCTCTCGCTGCAAGTACCCGCTGCCCCCTGCTCGCAAGGGCCGCGTCTGGGCTCCTCCCGTGACCGTCGGGCTGTCACCCGCGAGACTCCTCACGGCATTTTCTGTCGCGGGGAGGTAGCAATGGGGCAGAATCACGGGACTGTTCTGGTTACGTGACTGGGTTCCCTGTCGGGGGAAGCAGGTGGTGAGGAACACGCTCAGCGGGTGTTGAGAATTCCCTCTCACGTTGCTGTGTGGGCTCGGGGGCATCTCCCAACACCTTTCCTTGGCAGACCCCAGCGGGACAACAGCAGAATGGGGAAAGGGGAGTGTCGGGAGCCAGACAGCGCCGAAAGGCGCACCGTTTAGCCCAACTTTCTTACATCCCGTTCACCCTTCCCTTCCTCACTGTATCCCAGAGGGATCAGTGTCCGGAAGAATACCGTACCTGCTCTCCTGAGCGACTCCTGGATATATGTGAGCATGAACTCAACGCCGAACATCTCCCGTTGCTCCTCCTCTTCCGTCTCCTCACACGGAGGGAGTGTCACCTCCAACTCCAGGGGGTTGTCTCTGAAGTTGACAAACCTGACGGTTCCCCACAAAAGGTTAAACAGGTTTTGTCCAGGGAGAGCCACACCTCTGGAGTGAAGATGCCTCCAACAGCCCTTTGAGCAGGGCGAGTTGTCTGACACTAAACCCACCACCGTGTCAGGAGCGTGAAGGAACCTAAGCCAAGGGGATGCCTTATACTAACAGCAGCTGGTTGTGGTGGGGGAAAACACCGCAGGCCTCGTCACTGTCTTCACGTTTTCACCCGTCAACCCTACCGAGCCTCCACGCAGAGAAGAGGGGCTGAGCGCCAGAGTGCCAACGTCTGCACCCTCCCAGCCTCACCAGGCAACGGCCAGCCCTGTCCCCATCCCCTCTGGCCTGGGTCCATCCCTGGGCCTATGCCTGGGCATCTCTGCTCAAAGAGGCGCTGCCTCTTCCAACATGCCTGAAAACAGGAACTGTCCCGCCAGGTTAGATGTGGTTTACTTGAACTAGCATTCTCTCTCTAGTGTGGCCAGCATCCTGTCATCCCAACAGAAATGCAGACGGCTGGGAAGTTCCTGTCACAGTACGGAAAACTGTACTGCCAGTTCTACCCATTAAAGTTTTGCCTTCGTTCTCCAGCATGTTCCAGATCAAGTCCAGGAGCGTTTCACCTGTACCCTTACACCTGATCCTTTCCATGTCATTCCGAATGCTTGACTTCTCAGTGCCAGAGTTCTACTTTCTGCCACTTTTGTGCTTCTTACACACTACTCCTCCTAGCTCTTGGCTTCGGAGCACGATACCAACGCCCAGGTAGGAGTGGACATTGGGACCGTTCCGAAACGAGGCGATGCCTCACCGCCTCCTTCCGCACTGGGACTGTCACTCCCTCAGCTGAGCTGTGTGACACAAAGCTTTCTGGACCACATCCTCACGTGCTGCATGTGGGATCGTGCTGATCTACACGGCCCCGTGTCCACACGTACAACGGGGACGCCTTTCCTACTGCCTTAGCACCACACTACAACTCAGGAGGCTTTAAAATGGCTCTTTCAGTGTTGTCATTTATATTTCTGTTGCTTTTCTCACCTCAGATTTGTCATGTCCTTCATACAAACTGGAATATGCTTCAGCTTATTGTTGCTGAGAACAAGGGTACTAAGATTTTTCATGTTACCAATGGTTTCTGGCAAAAAGCTTATCTCGTTCCTTTGGAGCCACAAAGTGTGGAGATTTTCCATTCTGTAAAATAGGTATTTGCACAAATACTTAGAAAATTGATCTTCTCAATCATTAATATGAAGCAATTGATCCATTTTTACAGCCACATAAAAATACAACTCCTCAAAGAAAACCCCACACCTGACCACTAGTCGCAAATGCCACCGTCAAGGAATGTTTGACAGTCGATACTGAACTGAGGGACTGGATTATTCCAGCTCATCCGAAATACCGTGTTAGGACTGATAAATCTGAAGTTTGCAGTGAGGTTAACACTAAAAGAACACTGCTAAGTAGGATTTAACAATTAGCATCCCAGGGCAGTGAGCTTCACTTACCTGTCGATTGCCTCAGGAAGCTCCTGGAGTTTATTCCCCCCCATATCCAACCACTCGAGGCTGGGCATGTCAAGAAGAGCTGGCGGGATGGCAGCGAACTGATTCATGCACAGATCTATGTGTGAAAGCTTCTTCAAGCCACTGAGCTGAAAAGAGAGGGAGATGCAACAGGCGTTTGTGCAGCCATTCGTACCGCAGCGCTGGAACGCCGCTGCCTGGAAAGAGACAGTTTCAAACAGCACAATGCATTGCGAACGCAGGACGGGCCTGGCGTTACATCAGCTGATCTCACCCAACAACCACTGCTCTCCCTCGCAGGCCGGAGGTTTGGGACTGATCTGGCAGAAGAATGGTGTCTCCCACCTCGTAGCGAGTGCCCTAACCCGGGGAAGCGACAGCACAGACACACCCCACGCCTTGAGAAAAAGAATTTTAAAGACAGCCCTGTCCTCAGCATCTCATTCTTGGCGGTGTTTCTCCATGCAACACCTTTCTTCATCAACCAAATACTTCCATTGTTATGGATCAAACTGCACGGACTGCGTTTTGGAGAGAGCCGAGACACTGTCCGTGCTGGGAGGTCTGTTACTGGGGGAAGACATCGTAAACCGAGCCATAGCATCGCTCAATATTGCAACACCGAAGTCCCCTGGTGAGTCAGGCCTTCGGGGGCTTTTACAACGCTCAGGTGGCGCAGAGATGTTTCACTGCAATCCTGGTCCAACGGTCTGAACACCGAATGCTGCCCGAGCACGGACAGCCAGAGCTGCACGGTGTTGGCAGCACCGCAGTCTCCACGGGACCGCCCGCCTGTTTGCTACGAGCCGTCACTCTACACCATGTGACCTGTATCCACATAGATTTGGTACATTCTGGGTTCTGAGGGAGAGTGTATGGTTTCATTTGAAGCACTGTCGTTAGGGACGGCTGCTCAGACTCAGTTTTGCAAGGCACCGATTGCTCTCAACCACTGCCTGGTCACAGAACTCCTGTTCACATGCGTTTCTGGGGAGTAGTTGTGACATCAGAGTATCAAAGCAAACCTGAAAACACGGAGCGCGACGTTTAATGATAATGGTTTGGGGACAAATTCAAAACATGCATTAAAAACCCAACAGCCTGTCCAAACCTGAGGAGGAAGATCGCAGATGCTCCTGTTGACAGCCAGCTCCAACCTCTCCAGGCTGGTGCAGTTACTTATTTCCTTGGGAACAGACCTGATCCTGTTGTAGCTGAGAAGCAGCTCCTGCAGGCCTGTCAACTGGCCTGTGGAGAGCACAAATGAGAAAGGCCAAGTGTTAGGTTCATGCTGTCTGAAATAGGGTATCGCGGGTCCTGGGTGACCCTTAGTGTTACGGAAGCGCTCTGTGTTCTCACAACAGAGGTTCACTGGAACAGTGGGACACTGGGACTCTAGTACAAAACTGCACTCCAGCTGCGTGCTACAGAAACCCCAACAAACCCATGAGCACAGGCTCGCGTGCTGTGGGCTCCCACCCCAAGGCTCTTCTTCAGCACTTTTCTGGCTGCGTTCTGACGTGCATCTGCTGCCTTCTCATGGGGAGCTTTCGTACGCACTTGTTACCGGGCAGGGAGCGACAGGACAAGGGGCAACGGGTTTAAACAGAAAGAGGAAAATTGAACATCAGGAAGATATTCTTCCCGGAGAGGGTGGTGAGGCACTGGGACAGATTGCCCAGAGCAGCTGTGGAGGCCCCATCCCTGGAAGTGTCCAAGGCCAGGCTGGATGAGGCTTGGAGCAACCTGGTCTAGTGAAAGGTGTCCCTGCCCATGGCAGGGGGTGGGACTGGGTGGGCTTTGGGGTCCCTTCCCACCCAAACCATTCTGGGACTCCATGATATGTCTCCTCCCTCTGGCCATTTTTTGTAATTTCTAGGGAATCCATGGTTCCAAGCTCTCGCCCTCACTGTCAGACTCACATCGCCTGTTTGCTAACTGCCCAGGTAGGCAAAATGCACACAAACGGCACGTCTGTGTAAGATTCACTTTCTTAGACAAGCAGCTCAGAACAGAAGGCAGAGCTCACCAATTTCTTTAGGGACACTTTCGATTGAGTTTCGGGACAGATCCAGAACAACCAGGCTCTGAAATCTTCCAATGAACGAAGGGATTTTCTGCAAACTAGTTCTGTGAAGCTGCCATTCCTGGAGATGGACGAGTTTCAGTAGGCACGAAGGAAGTGTCTGAGACCAGAAATACGAACCAGAAGAAATTCAGCTCAGCATACGATGAGCATACAGCCTCAGGTGGAAGTTGCATTTGAAAGAGTAACAGTCTTGGGATTTAAAAATAAACAAAAGGAAAAAGAAGAAAACTTTCCCTTTCCTCCACCTATTGCTGCAGCATCCCAAAATGAACACCCTTGATGTGGGGCATCCTGACCCCAGAGTAAACCTGCCCCCTTTTGCTCCCAGGGTTGAGATCCCTGTGCTACTGTCACTGCTTGAACAGCCTGGGATCGCTTTGCTTTGATTTTTTGTAGACAAAGTCAACAGAGGATGGAACTGCTCTGAATTGTTCTCACATTTCCACGGTGATCTGAACTGTATTGCCCGTTCTGTTAAAAACAGCAAGCCCCTGTGAGCAGAAGAGCTGAGGGACAGAAAATGCACAGTCTGCAGGCTGGGAGTTGGAGCCAGGATGGCTGCAGGCAGCTTCATGCTCTGGCCCTGGCAGGGGCTGATCCTGATACTATTATACATACAACAGTATTCTGGGAATCTACCGGCTCATTTTCACCCTTAGAAAGTGAACAGCTGGAATAAATACCTTCATGCACCTAAACACAGAGGGTTTCCACCTCGGTATTTTTCAGTAGTTCTGGTGTGTTAATGTGAAATGGAGATTTAGTGATTAAACTGCTAATTTCCTCATGTATAAAGCCTTTGGGCTACCATTTTGCAGAGCAATGTTTCATATTCAGGACTAAAAAGGATCACTTGCTACTTCACAGCAGCGTGCCTGAGCTCGCTGTTAGCAAGCACACCGCCAGCACTCCGCAGGTTAAGAATAAATAGCACAGCTCTGAGCGCCAAGTTGTAAACAGCAGTTTTCTAATGCATCACTCATTCAACCCAAGTACCATGAATTCCCATCCACACTACCTTCCATTCTTCTTCCTCTATCCTTAAAATTGCTCTTCCATCTTCATGAATGACTTTTTCTTTGAGCCTGGCTAAGGCCGCTCTCTCTTCCCAGACAAGCAGTAGCCTACGAGGGGAAAGAAGCTGTCAGTGGTGTGACAACGACAGGCAGTGAGTATCATCACTGTTTCCTGGAGCGGAGACAGCAGCCTTTCTGGATGTCGAACAACATCCACTGCACCTGGCTGCTAAGTGCGCCATCAGTCTGAGGGAGGAGAAGAACGTTAATGTTTGCTGCGGGCATTTGCAGGATTCTGTTTCTGTCAGAAGAGCGAAGCACTCTGTTCGCTTTCCGCGTGCTGCAGTGGGGCAACAGAACATAAAGCCATGTGCAATCCCATTCCGAAGCCACTGATTTTGAAGTGGTCTCCCGAAAGGAAAGCCCTCGGTTCCACCACGTGTAAATGCAATCGAAACAGGTCCATCACCTAGGGACGATTTCAGCTTCGCTGCCGAGGGGACTTACACCACACCTGTGAAAATCAGGCCAATGCTTTCTTTTTCCATGACAGCGCTGGAATTTCTCATTCCATTTCAAACACCTGACAGATTAGGAAGGTTCCAGAAAGAGAACACTGAACTGCTTCACATTCATGAAACTGCTGGCCAGACAGATCCCAAGCAACCCTCTCCGTGCCGCCTCGGAGAAGCAAGCGTAACGCGGGAAGTTTGAACACCCACACCCTGAACTGAGGAGGTTTAGCATCTGTGCTAATGGTTTTGTCACAGGACACAATTCTTGGTCTGACCTGACCATCTTGTTCAATTCCAACCCGCCGGAATGCTGCTGGAGTACCGACTGAAGAATTAGACTCTCTGTAAGCCTGGAAAGACCAACTGTAGCTTTCCACAGTTACTCCAGCTTTTCGCATAGGAGAGACCAAAATCTACCTACCTGCCCGCAGACCTCTGCCTGAACTCCTTTTCTTTCTGTAATTCTTCATTTATCTTGTGTATTCTCACTTCCCAAAGGGTCTTCACAGCAGAGAACGTCCCAGCGCAAACTGCCGTCTCAGTCATGATCCTCGCATGCCGGGATTCGCTCACAGGGACCCGACTGCGCGTTTCGGGCTCGACGCAGCAGCGCGTGCAGCAGCCGCTCGACGGGGACAGTGACACGGAAGTGAAACCGCTGCGATACCTGCTCGATGACAGCATTAATTCTGTTAATGGTAAAACTCTGTCAGTTCTGCACCACTGCCTTCCCTTTACCGAAGCTGGGGAACTGCACCGAGTTACGTGTTCTTGCAATACAAAACGGTGTTCCTGCAGTCTCCACACCCGCAGCAGCGAACAACTGCTCCTCCGCCTTCCATCAGTGGCGGGCTGAGAACTGACCACAGTTACGAAATGCAGAAATGAGCATCCGTTCCCCTCCCAGGAAGAAATTACGCTGCTACCTGCAACTTAAGGCAGTTAAATTCTGGCAGCTGCATCCTGGCATTATTGCAGTCGTTTGGAAAAGGTGGGGTTTTAGGGATGAACTGCAGCCAGGATACTGGTGTCCAGGTAAGCGCAGCGGGCCAAGCCGTGCCAGCAGCCACATACCTGAATGCTCCCTTTCAAACTCCTCCCAGTACTGGCAGCAACAAGGAAGAAAAACATCGTGCGTATCCAGTCAAACTGAAAAAGCGAGGATAACTTTCTTCCCAACAAGCAGGCAGGTAACACAGAGGAATGCCCGGTCTTTTCACACACGTGTTTCCCCACAGTCTCTTTCAGAGCAATCCCTTTATCACATTTACTCCGTTACAAGGCTGCGCGGCGTTGGCAGACCCCCGAGGCCTCGTGAATGCTCCCGGGTGCAAACAGCCAGTCATGTTTACGTCTTTTGCTGACAGAGTTACGTGTAAAGCCTGACTGCGCGGAAACCGCTGAGTTAACACGGCGTAGGCAGGCCAAGAAGAAACATCAATTGCCAGGACTGCAAACATGGTGTAAAATCAAATTACACAAGCGACAGCCCTGGCGTTGGACAATGCACTCTGGCACTTGGATTCCTAAACAGGGATTGGGGTTTTTTCCTGTAGAAAGGATTGTACCCTCCCCTCCCCCACATAACTGTGGTCACATTCATAGTTTGAAGGATGAACGTCAGTGGCCCCCACGGTAACGCTCTTACCATTCCTCATCCCAATCCCAACAGCAATGACCAAGACACGGTGTGAGGGTTTTGCTCGGATTAGTGGCTCACAATTCCAAAGTGAATTCTCAAGCGTGGCTGCAAAACAGCCCCAGATTTACTGCCAAGGAGTCACATCTCCCAGCAACTTCACCTCCAAAGAATCGAACAGCTTACCTCAACCTCCTGGTGTTTTCAAGGATTTGCTGTGACCTGCGGCTTCCTGGGCAAGTGCCCAGAGGAACCACCAGCCCGGCGTGTAGCCCCAGCCCCCGCAGCCCCAGTGCAACGCCAGGCTGCTTCTAATTTTAGCCACGCTGAGAATAGAAGGTATCACATGAGGCCCTTCTGCAGCCTCCCAGGCACCTGCCGCCCCCCGCCCCATCTCCCCATTCGCTGAACACAAGGGACTCGGAGCCCCTGGGCTCCACGTCACAAACCATGAACAAGGCGAATCGTTACGCTCCGCAGTGACAAATATGCTCGTTTTGAACTCAGAACGACGCTTGACACCAGTAACGTTCCTCTGCAAGACAACGGAGCTTCAAAGCGCTCTCAAACAGCAGTGTTGACTAACTACTCCTAGGAGGAGTATTCCATCGTGAGTATTTCACACACTGCTTGGGCCCATGCTTAAGAATTCTCCTGTTGGAGGATTTTAGTGCAAACGTAACAGCCCGGACAGAAAAGTAACCCTTGCCAGGATGTGCCCAGGGGTTACTACTGCCCCTTTTCATGAGACTTTTTTAATAGTCTCTTTCTTCGAAGAGCCCAGGGGAAAGATGAAGAAGAACAACTGCCAGAAGCTTCTCCTCCAACCCAGGGGCAAGAGGGAGACGGCGGTCACGACAGGTCACTACTTGAGGTAGAAGCCGTAAAACCAGGTGATTGCAACCAGTCCTGGCACTGGAGTATAAAACGCGAAGATGAAATTTTAGAAATACCTGTCACGTGGTTATAACCCTCTGTCAGGAGTACTTTATCCTCACGATCAGCCTTGGATTCCAGCATTACCACTTACAACTTTACAGCCACGCGAAGCCTCCCCGGTGACTGACCTCAGGACTAGCACCTGCCTCGAAGCGCACCGACCGACGCAGCTTCAGCCCCCGCAGCGCCTCTGCCTTTTCACCAAACGCTGTGCGAAAGCCAGCATGACCCGGCAGGCTCTGGGGGAGGGGTACTTCCCCTTCCAGCCTGGGTCCGGATTCAATCCCCACAGTGCGTTCTGACTGAAGTTTTCTCTCGATCTAAAAAGTCGTAACTGAGACCTCAAGCACTCAATTTCCTCCTCCACACGAGACAGACAGTTAGAGCTGTGAAAAACCAACCTTCTCTTTGGAGTTCTGAGAGACAATGCCATTTCAGGTCCCTTGTGCGAGCAGAATTATTCTCTCTCAAGTATTTCACATCACTTCACCCCTTTCTATCACACACTCCTACTTCCTCGACGCGTTTGCCCACGGCCAACAGGTCAAGAGAGGGTACTGCCGAGAGGGAGCCCTTACCACCCCGCCAGGCTGTGTCCTTACGGTGCTTGCCGGTGCGGTACGTTCTTGGAGGGATGCCGAAACGGAGCTTTGGGTCCCCTGTACAGGATCGCCTGCGTACAAGTCACAGACAGAAGCAGAATTACTACAACTCTTGGTGGCTGTATTTTTTATTAGGAATAAATAAACCTGGGAAGAGTGACGCAGGCGATGGGCACAGCGCATTAGCCAAACGCTGCGAGAAATGACCTGTATGTAGAAGCCCCTTCGAGCAAAGGGACATCAAACAGCACCTTACGGGTACGCCCTGGGCTCCCCCGCCGCCAGCCTCCCCCTTGCTCAGCCCCACCATCCCCATGGCACGTTCTACCGGTACCTCCTGTCGCTCCCCTTCGCAGCTGAACCCAACAGACAACCCTGGTCTCCGACCATGGAGAACGCTCCCAGAGAGGCAGTTTGGGGTATCTGTCAGGAGTAAATGTCCGTTTGTGCCTCACAAACTCCTTTTTAAGGCCATGTAACTGTCTTTTCTTGTGTCTGCAAGTGACGTTTCTAGAGGGGATTTACATCCAACGGTTTTCTTCGTATCCCCAGTGCAATGCTCGCCCATGGGTCAGTGTTCAGGCATCAACCCGAACCCCCTCCTCACATGTCTCTTGTCTGAGTTGAAGGAGTCCTTATTTCACATTCTACATTTCAGTGTCAATTCTTTGATGTATGTGATTAGCCTGTTGAATTTGAGCATCTGAACATCAGTATCACCAGGCGATGCAGGCTTTTTGAACACCACCCGCTCCCCCTCAGCCTCACCCAGTCACACAGCAACAAATGAGATCCCTTTTTTGCCCCTCTCTTTTTTTAACAGACAGATCCTGCCTATAAAAACCAAAAATGACTGGAAAGTACTTTAGGACTGTAACTAGTTCCCGCCTATAAAACCACAGGATGTTCTAGGAGCGTTAAGGACCCAACAGCCATCAGTAAAGGTTGTCAGTAAGTATGGCAATAAACATGACCCCTTCATCCAGCATTTGGTGAAGAGTGCCTGTGCAAGTCATTGCCAGGAAAAAGTGGACTGGAGAGGTTTGCTCAAACAACAAAAAGCTCTCTGGACGTCTTACCGCAGAAGCATAAGAGGCATTTTATTTGTATATGATTTTTGCATACCTTCTGTTGGGAATTTGGGTATTAGTTGTTAAAATAAATGTACGTGTCCGAGGAGGAACTACGAGTATCTCCCTGCAAAGCAGGTTAATCAGCTCATGAATGCGGCCGACGGTACATCGGTGTAATTCAGCCACACCAGCCACACAACCGTCTGTGCCACAGAAGGCAAAGACATGCCACCACCGTACTCTGAATGCACCCCGGGACCTATCCAGTTCGACAGTCAGCTGCAGAAGACATTACGGCATTAATTAAGAGAAGTAACAGCTAATTGACAGACTGATACCAGCTGCTGAGAACTTTCAACCACATGAAATTATTAGATGATGTGAGTAGCAAAGGGCACATGCTAGCAGAGCCAGCCGTCTAATCCGCAGTTTAAAGGCATATTCCGGAGAGGTTTCCGTTATTTAAGGTCTAGCAGCATGGAAGCAGGGTTCTCCAAGTAAGATTTCCACAAGTTGGAAAAGCGGGCCATCGTAGCTCCGTCGATGATGCGGTGATCAGCTGACCAGCTCACATTCATTATCTGGGCCCTATATACTTCACCTTTTCCATTAAATCGAGGAAGAACCTAAAATCAGAGGAAGGAAAAAACAAAAAAACCCTTCATTAGCAAATCTTTATTTTTTTACTGTTAGTTTGTTAATTGAATGTAAACATTTTGCTAAATCGGACCCACAGCAGCAGCGTCACCCAAAAACCCAACGACCTCCCCACTGCTGTCTGTGCTGCAGGTCAGGATATATTGTAAAGCTCAAAACCCACAGCCATATCCTGCTTCCACCACCACGGAAACACTGAAGTAGTGGAAACCTCCCTTGACTCGGACGATTCTTCCTGAATGGTTTACTGCCCTGTTAGTGCTCAAAATGAGTTTCCCAAAAGGCGCACAGGGCGAAGACAGAAAAGGGGTTTTGGATTAGTTCGGCTTTCCAGCACTCATCCAACTGTCTGTACTGAAGAATTAAAGCCTGACACTCAGGAAACATGGAACTGCCTCCACCATGCAGTGTTCTGTAGGGGTTCAGCTGTCTGGCTCCTGAAAGGAGACTTCATCATCAGGATTATACTTTTAGCCTTGTTTTCTCCTTCATGACATTAAAAATGCTCCCGCCATGCTGCAAAACGTGTAAAAAATACATTCAGGCTGTTTCTTACTAAGCCAACGGCCAAACAGGGATGGGGGTGAAGGATTTTGGAACCAAATCTGAACCTCTGGCATAAAAACCGTCTACTTAAACATCTGGTATCTCTGCACAGTCACCAAAAGCACCACAAAACCTCTCAACCACAAGCTACACAGTTCCTGTGACACGAAAGGGGAAATGTCTGCATAAAGAGAAAGACCACCAAGGGCCATGCGGCGTTTGGTTTCCAAGTGAGGGCTGCAGTTAGCTGAGCCCCCCTGCCAGGGCAGAGCTGACGTACCTGTATCTTCCCGAGCGCTCCGATGGCCACTTCAGGGGGCAGTATCACTGGTTTGGCGTACGTGCCACCAATCTAGGAAAGAGAGACTGGGATATTGCTTAACAGGCTTTTTTCCTTTAAAGCAGACTGCCTTTTGCAGTGATTGCTCCAGGTTCTGTTCGCTGCACATGAAGCTTCCCTGAGGTACCCAATCCAGAGGCAGTTTTCAGGCACAAGCTCTGGTTTTTCCGGTACTTACCGTGCCGATATTGGACAGGGTGAACGTGCCCCCGGTGAGGTCGTTTGTTCCCAGCTGGCCTGCAGAGCCCAAGGACTGTAGGCGATTTAACTCGGAAGCAATCTCGAACACACTGCAGACCTGAACGTTCTTCACGTTTGGGACAATCAAACCTTGCTCCGTGTCCATAGCGACGCCAATGTTGTGCGAAGCCTGCAACAAGTTCCACCAAGGGGGCACTGACGCGGGCGGTCACGACAGGAGCGTGCCACGTTAAGAAGCCCTTGAAGAATGCCTTCCTCGCGCACAGCATAACACAAGAAGTACTGTCTGTACGCACCCAACTCCCCCGTACAGCTCGGAGGGGAGAAGGGGGTGGAAATTTTTCCCTATTACCTTTCCACATCCACACAGCACAAATGATTTTGGCAGTTTCACATCCAGGAAACACAAAATCCTGGAATCCATTTTGTACCGAACATGTTTCACTTTGGGATGATTAAATGGGTAACAAACTGTGATGGGCACATTTTAAAGAGAATGCTAACATTAAAAAAATAGAGGAAACGGAGCTGCCTCTTATTTCCTTGGAGGAATATAAGCGGATTCGTCTGAGAGATCAGGATAAAACAGCACAACAGAGTTCGCACCGCAGGGGGCGTGTACACTGCTCTTCAGACTACAGACACTTCCTGCCCACAGGTACCAATCTAGCACCTTGCATGGGAATTAAATATTTACCATCAAACCTGACTTTAAAATACAACCCCAATACAGAAGGGTTGTGCACAGCAGAACTGCTGTGCCTGCGCTGGAAAATTACGGGATGTGATTTTACGCGATCCCATTTCAAATGCTTGGCCCGTGCAGGAAATCACAACGTCCACCTGCATTTTCGAGGCCAGGCTGGATACAAAGCGACGCTCATTAAACTATCGAAACAAGAGCAGTAACAAACCCAACCCTACACTCTGGACACAGGAACGCTTTTCCAGCGCATCACTTCAGGTCTCACAGTTGGCCCAGCCAGTCAGCAGAGCCCTTGTCAGCTGCTGGCTGAGGCATTCGGCACACAACCTGACAGAGTTTACAAACCTTGTAGGTGACGTTTTGACAGCTTTCATCCAAAGCAGCATTAAGGATGGGATACTGCAATAATCCCAGAGAGGCTGCCTGTTAAACAAAAGAGGAAAACACAGATTTCTGTATTTTACACCCGGAGAGCTGCATGGAAAGGAAGGAACGCTGGGAGGTGACTGAGATTAATAACAATAGGGATTTCCTCAATACAATCAAATTTGGCTAGAAGTCTCCTAAACTCGTCTGTTGATACCCTACTCTTGTTAGGGGAGCAGAGGAAAAACACAGCTTACAAACCCAAATACACATCAGATGTATAAACAGGGATAAGCCTTTTCCCAGATGTAACAGGTTGAATCTGCATTTGATATTTCTGTTCCACAACCCAAATCAAAGGTCCCCAGGCAAAAGTTACGAGTTTCAGCAGCAGCAGCGTCATTCTTAGCTCTCCACTCAAGGACAAGGAAGTAATACTCCTTCTCCCTAAAGACAGTGGGCAGAATGAGTGCTCACTCAGCACCCCAAACGAGTGCTTACTCAGCACCCTGATGGCAGCAGCATTACCAGGACATTCAGATCACAGGATGCATTTAATGCATCAGCCCTCGCTGATGAGCCACAGCAACCAAACGAGGGCAAGGGCCTGCCCGTCTGAACAGCAGAGGAGACACAATGACTCGCCTGCGGGCTTCCTTACCAACAAAACTCTAATAAAAACAACAATAATTATAATAATGACGCCTTTTCCACGAGGTTCATTTTATCAGAGCTCGTAAAAACCACTGATGGTTTGACAATTAGTTGCGTGTAGCTCAAACGCCGAGTGGTGCTCCCCTCCCCCAGCCTCATCCGCCCTGTCCTTCGCCCCTGCCGGAGAAGTTTCCCGTGACGTTATAGGCCCCAGCCACGATCCCGACAGCAAACCTGCAAGCGGTTCACGAGCGAGAGGTTCTGAGGCGTGCCTCGCGTGCGGCAGTTGCCCAGCCGGCAGAGGGGAGCTCCCCATGCAGAGCACCCCAACAGGCCTCGGCACACCCTGGGTGCGCGCCCCACAGGGCGCCTGGCTCACCTTGATGAAGAAAGGCATGAAGGACAGCTTGACTCCACGCTGCTGGGCTACAGCCTTCAGCTCCTCTCGCAGCCGGACGAGCTGCGTTAGGTCAACCTCATCGCAGTAACCGAAGTGGGGTATCTTCAGGGCTGCACTCATAGTCTTGACCATTGCCTTGTGAAAACCTGAAAAACGTGTGCCGACTCCTTAAACCACCCAAACGAGCTTCTGGGGAGTTACGATGGCATTTCAGCTATTTGTTTCCCTCAAACAAATTACACAATTGAACAAACCCAAACCAACAGCAAACCACCACAACAACCAAGGACAGGTTAAAGCTCACTTCAGGACCAACACACAACTTCTACAGCTGTAGCATTTCAGATTAGATCGCTGCATCTCTCAGTGTACGGATGCATCGGAAACCACAACACAGCGGCCTGCACTGCCCTTCCCAGCCTCTCCAGGTAAGCACTGCCTGCAAGGCAGGCACACCTCTCCCCTTCCTCTTTTAACGGGGTTTTTCCGTGGTACTCCCCTCCTAACCAAGCGTGAGTGCTGAAGCACGCTACCACTAAACGCTGATAAACCTGTAAACCCACTGCAGGTTGCCATTAACTGCATAATGATTCATACCGAGACGAATTCCCACATCTCAGAATTCCTGCCTTTTTCAGCACACATTTGAAGAAACGCCAATGGAAAACGAGCAAGTGCAACTCGCAGCCCAACTCCATCCAACCAAAACACAAACAATTATTTCATGAACGAACAGTTTCATGCAACACCTCCTTATGGCGCCGGTTCGCCCGCTGCTCACCGGCATGGCAACACAACACACACTCCCACCAAAAGGAATCAGCTGCCTGCCGAGTGATGTTTTCTGCTGGCCTACTGTGAGCATGGGCTTGAGATGTTACATTCCATGATTTACCTGTTATAGGTTCAGTTCTATCTTTCCCTGAAAAAACAATGGGTCTGGAAACAGGTACAGGAATTGTGCGTGCTTTGTCCTTTGGAGCAGCCGGCACAGTCTCTGATTTTGGCAAAGGTGGGATAATTTCAGCCTTGGGTGACGGAGGTAAAATAGCTCCCGTTTGCTTGGCCAGGTAATTGAGTATGTCTTCTTTAAGGATCCTGTTATCTTTTCCTGTTCCGACAACCTCGCTCAGTTTGATCTGAAAAGCACGTAACAAGCTATGAGACGTGCGCTGCACAGCGGTGTGAAAATACCCTGCGTTGCGAGCTACGGCTAAACACGATTCCGGCTGCCGACCTCACACACCTGCAGTTCCCCCTCCCCTTCTGGGGTTTATTAGGTGCTCAGCATTGTGCAAGCACGTGCCTGCTCCAAGGAGGAGCTACGAATACTACTCACCTCCTAATTACCTCACAGGATCAACAGTGAAGTGTTAACTTGAGGAAAGCTAAGTGTCACTTCCGTTTCTCTACTTATTGTCTCACTGTTTTCCTAAAAATGTACCGCATCTTTCAAAACCAATGGAACATTCACAGATTCACAGGAAAAAAGATTCAGAAAAGTGCTTAAAAGGTCACGTGGTACATCCTCTGCTCTAGTACAAATCTGAAAAATAATATGGTAGCTAACACGGAGGTTCCAATTTTCCTTCCTCCTTCCTCTGTCCCAGGAATCCATTCCGATCCTCGATTATGTTTAATCTCAAGAGGTTTTCTTAGCCTCCAGCTTAAGGCATCCCAGCTGCACTTTAGCCCAGTGATTCGCTACCCACCCACCATCATCACCAGAGAGCACAACCCCTTCATCCTTACCATAGGCTTTACACATCTGAAAGGCACCCGAGATCCAGCATTTCTCACTGTTCCTTCCTCCAGATCAGGGCACTCCCAGTGGGCCCCGCTGCTGCAGAGAAGCTGGAAAACCGCAGCAGGATCCAACTTACGTTGTTCTCCATGGCCAGGCGACGAACCGCAGGGGTTGCTAACGTCTTGTGACCTTTGATCTCTTGATGGGTGTGCTCTTCATGAGACATGGGAGGTGTTTCGACAACATCTTCTTCCGGGGCCACACCTGCAAGCAAAATGAGAAAATTCAACTGTACTACACTGGGCGCGTTTGGAAACGCCAGCGTCAACCGTCCTGGGAGCCTGCAGCAGCTGAAGTTTGTAACGTTCACTGTGAGCTGCTGCAGGCAGGAGCGCAGCACGCCACGGGCTGCTGTGTAAGCTGGATTTTCACCAGGAAATGCCTACCTTTCGAGATTTTAAATGCTAACAAAATATCCCAGCCTCCCACCCAATGTTCTTGACTTTATAAAGGGGAAGAATATAATTCAGATTTAAGCTTTTCAGGACGAAGTAAACTCCTCTGGCACCTTGGTTTCATGATAACAAACATAAAACGTGCAGGAGAAACACCCAGCTACAGTACCTTTCGAAGCATCGATTTCAATGTCCACTAACGGCTTTCCAACGTAAGCGATCTCGTCCAAACTGTAATGGAGTTTTCTGATGATGCCATCGTACCGACTAGTGATAGTAACAGAGGCTTTGTCGCTCTGTACTTCACAGATGCTGTCGAACTGAGACACACTGTCACCTTCCTTTATATACCTAAGAGAAAAGACACGGGCTAGTACCGAACACACCAAGGGTAACCACCTACACTGTGTGTTCTTTGTGCGGTCACGCACACCCCCACAACACGAAACCGCTTTCTAGGTAGGAAGACAACTCCCACATAACAGATATGTCGCTGAGCAGCATTTGCCCAATCGCTGCAAGCCTCGTTGTTGTGGGAAATGACAGTGGTTTAGGGTATCATCACACGCTGAAGTGGTTTTACTGGGACTCCAGTAAAGTGCAGTTTTCTTGGCAGGTTTCAAGCCATCTCAACACAAGAATGAGGCCAACTTAGTCTGAACCCATGGAATTTCTGTGTTTCAAACCGCCAGGAGCGGTACATGTTCAGTTTCAGAAAAGAAACTTAGTGGTAAACAGCATCTTCTGTGCAGTGGGGCGTTTGACATCTGCCAAGGAGGCGCTCCAACTGCCTTCCTTCACGGAACACTTGGACTTGGCTTAACCATCACTGCCTTTTTACTAACAATTTACATGTTCAGATCTTTCCTGAAATCAATGGGAAAGGGGTACAGGGTAAAATTCTGTGGGTTCTCCAGACCAGCCGTTTGTTTCTAAAGTCCAGCAAGTCAAGCAAGTATAACAGAAGACAGACCCGCCGCACCACTGAAGGCAAACCCATGCACAGGTGCAGTTAGGGCATCCCCTCCCTTCCACCCTTCCCACTCCCCAGTAAACCAGACTGCAAATAAAACAAAGCCCCGTGCATACACGGTTTCACAGTGTGGAAGTGAAGCCCGAGAACCATCACTAGTAACTCAGAAAGCACATGCTCAGACAAATAATTGATAACACAAGCAACTCGCTGACTCCTCGCCGGGTTTCTACATACAGAAGCAGAGCGTACCATTCTTTCACCGTCACCTCTGTAATCCCCTCTCCGATGTCAGAAAGCTTGAACTGGACAATCTGGCCCCATGGAACTTAAACAGACAATAAGGAAATACAACATGTTTAATATTAAACATGTCAGAAGGACAAATCTGAATGCATCAAAATTACTCTCCACACCAGCACATACAAACCGCTGGCACAACACTCACAAACAGCAAAAGTAAAGGAAGGATTTTATTATGAAAAAGATTACCAGCAGACGTTCTGAATAACCGCTGATGGTGACTAAACTTGAGGGCGGATTTGTCACACACGCACACATATTTTGATTTTATAAAGCGAATGCTGCTGCACGATCTAACACGGTGAATGCAAACCTGAGGGAGAGAAGTCTCAAGCGTTAATGGAACGGACTGAGGAATGTCAAGCTCATTCAATATTCCTGATGCAACACTAACCCCAGAATAGCTTAACTCTGGCTTATCTAAGAGGAGTTCCCACAGGAACACAGTTATACATACTGAATATATACAATAACCACTAAATGAGCAGAAGCTTTGCCAGATCTCTAGTCTCTTTCACTAACGCAGCACACGGGGAGATCAAAGCCACAATAACATAACCAATTAACAAAAATCATGACACGATCCGGTAAGAGATTTGTACTTGCTATCGTTGCTCTGAGCCATTAGTTCCATCAGGACACACACAAAAGCATACGTGTATCGACTGCTGTCGGAAATATCCTCATCCAGAATGGATGCTGGAAGGGTCCCCGGGACTGCAGGAAAAATCACCAGCTTTGCCTTTGCCAATTCTCCAATCAAAGGCTGATCAGAAGTACTAATCGGAGAGGGAATTCGCACCAGAGGGCACAGGCACCCGCCCATCGCTGCTGGCAGCACTCGTCTCCAAGCAAACACCGCTTCACCTCAACCTCACTGACAGGTTTTCTTTCAGGGTTGCAATTACATCGATCCAGAACCAACTCAGAGGGTCGATGGATTTTCCTGGAAAGTTCTTCAGAGAAAACCTTGTGCTTTAAAGCATGGTGCAATCAGTCATGATTTTGGTCAAAAGCAAAGCCAGTAGCACTTGCACTGACACAAACAGGCACTCATCACTGATCTCACAGAAGTTAGTTCAGAGCCTTTCTCATTTAGTAAGATTTATTAAATCTACTGTAATTCTGGTGTTATGCTGCCTTAGAGTGCTGGAAAATTAATTAAAATACAATTTATCTGTAGATACAATCTCCCATTAATTTAGATACCAAAAAAATTCGGGTGCTACAATGTACCTCAAGTAGCTCAAAACTGTAAAATTAGAAAGTGTCTTCTCAGAGGAGGCAGAAATCAGCACACCTGCATGGGAAAGTTCATTTTAACTTCTTTTCCAAAAGCCCTTTCAGTACGCACAGAGCATACGAAATGTCCCGACTGCCCTCCCCGCCCCCAAACTGCCCAACGATTCGGATTGGCATGACACTTTAAGGAAGTGGATCGTTCAGAAAGCGGCACCATGTGCACGCTCCCTACGTTACCTAGCCCCCGCGCTGCGTGGCACCTTTCTCTTGGGAACAAGCAGATATACAATACACTCCACCACAAAGGACACGACCACGTCCTGTCGGTGACTCTGCGGCTGCCCGCTGCTGAGGTCGCGCCTCCCGAGCTGGGAGAAGCATTCTCCTAATTCCCATAATGAGCAGACAGTAAACTTTGCATTAATTCTCCAAACAATTTTCCCTATTCAAAAATCAGGTAAAATGGTAATTTTAACCTATGGCAAATCTTGGTTTAGGAACACATTTAAAATTCTCACTCCGTTACAAAACTGACACATTATGTACATCTCCACAAGTCCCTCTTCCCTTCTTAATGCTGTTTTTCTTCCCACCTGAGCCCACGGCTCCCTGTTTTGTCCGAGTCCTTTTTGTCCCCAGCTGACAGTAACTCCGGTCGCTCTCCATGACCCTCCATGGAAAACATTCAGCATTTACCTGTGAAGACGATCACAAGGGGCACATCGAATCTCTGAACTATTTCTAAATGGGGGGTCTCATGATGCCTTCCACATGCCTTTGCCATTGGGTAACCAAGGCAGGGAGCGCATTAGCGACACCCCTGCCAAGACAAGGCCGGTTTCTCACAGGGGACTTTCAGTGCTGTTTCCAACCGCGGTTGCAGCAATCATTCAAAACTATGGCATCTGAAAAAAGCGGAATGTTTTGGGTCTGAGCGGGCGTGCTAGTGCATGAAAGCAGCAAGGCAGCACCCCACCTCCTCCTAGAGCAGTGCTCTCTCCTAATGAGGGGAAAACTTAAACCCATGAACCAGACCGAAACTATGGCATCTGAAAAAAGCGGAATGTTTTGGGTCTGCCGTTTCACACAATCTCCACTAACGAGCGGGCGTGCTAGTGCGTGAAAGCAGCAAGGCAGCACCCCACCTCCTCCTAGAGCAGTGCTCTCTCCTAATGAGGGGAAAACTTAAACCCATGAAACAGCCCGTGCTTACTCATTTCAGTGTTTGACCACCGTAACGCTACTCCCTGCGTATGCAGAGTAAGGAACTAACGACAGTGTGAGGAAGAGGAGTTCCAACGTGCACAGCACACCATGCACGCCTCTGGGTGCCTGCACACACAGTAACCCCAAGAGGCCACCAACCCAGCACGAGCAATGGGCTCGTGTCTCACTCCCACGCTGCGCAGAAACCCAGAGGCAACGATGCCACAGCAAGGGAAGGCCCTTCCCGTGGAAATCCTCCGAGCGCGGGGCTGGGGAGGGGAAAGTGAGGACCCCCTCCAGGCCCCCAGGGCACTGAGGACACATGACCCATTGACACGTGACGAGGCCTGTGGTTTGAACCAAGGCAACGTGCCCTCCAGCAGAGCTCTGGCTGTTTCCTTGGAGCAGCCCATCGTGCTTTCCTCAACCACCACGGAGCCTAAAACCTGCTGCTGGCCCACTGCAGAACAGGTTTGTGCAGCCTGCAGGCAACCCACGGCCTGACGAAGTAACGCTGCATTTCCACGGCAAAGTGAACAGTTTGTGCCCGGGGGCAGCGCTTTCGCATGGACAGATACTCCTCCGGAGCTCGGGACCGTTGCACTGAGCCACCCTAACAAATACCCACTCACACAGACCCGTTGTGCATCTCCACTATAAGCTGCCTGTGCACTGCAACGTCCTCAGCAGCACGTTCCGCTCAGAGGTCATCCCTCGCCTTGCCCTAGCACCCAGGAACAGTTCTGGCCCTACCTCTTCACACAGAGCCCCAGGCTCCTTTTTTCTCTTCCCAGCCTCCAGCTCCTTGTCCTTCCTCCCCTGGCCAGCCGGAGCGTTTGCGAAGGCACTGGGAAGATTGGAGTAAAGCCCTTTAATACTGCAATAACCCCACTATTTCTTGGGTCTCATCACGGTTTCACAGCAGATGGTCGGAAGAACTGGTGCCCAGCAAAACGAGAAACGTGCTTGCAGGACACACACTGGGAACAGCCAACTCCAGTTCAGCGTGCACATGGACGGGAACTTTCACCTTGCCAGGCTCTCCCTCCGATTTCAGGGTAGATGGCTTGGAAAGAAAACTAAAGGCAGCTGGTCTTTGCGGCGTCTGCAATTAGTAAAATGACTCGTATGGAGCCTAGAAGTGGATAATTAGAAAAATACCACTGAAAACATTCCTCCCAACGATGCTGTCGTGGTTTAGTCCAGCACGTGCGCTTGCAAAATACAGTATAAACTGTTATTAAGAGCACAAACGGTGACAGAAACTGGGACCCCGGGTTTGGCTTGGGTAACGGCAGGGAAGGCGTTGCTCTCCCTGCCCCCCGGACACCAACACCGCCCCGCGCCGGGGCTGTCCCGGCAGAGCCCGGGGGCTGCGAGGGGCCCAGGTCAGGGCCGTCCCAAAGCACCCCAGGTACCCGGGGTACG